AGAGAGAGAGAGAGAGAGAGAGAGAGAGAGAGAGAGGTTGGTGATCATATATGGCCGAAATACGATCAGATTAAGTCAATAGTTAGCTTTCGTGTATGAAAGGCAATTCTACTTAGAACAGTGATTTACGTTGGAAGCCATTCTTAATGGAGTTGGTTAATAAATTCTCCTTTATTTCTATGGAGATGGTGATTTCTGTCTGATGGAAAGGCTAAACACGACCTTGAAGGCTCCCAGGTGTGGCAAATTGGTGCCAATAGCCTTAGGCAACTGCACATTGCCATTGATGAAAGGATATAACATAAAATACAAGTAATCTTCTGAGGCGGCCTGTTGGAGAGTATATATGATCGCTTATTTTATACTGGGCTCTAGGGGTTTTGTCTACAAAGTTACTTGTTCTAGATCAAGTTAATCCTCATTAATATGCTATAAAACCAAGTGCCTTTTCAAGTGTTCACAATTGTTCTCTCTCTCCATTTTGATGTCCAATATGAGTAAGCAGACTTCGAATCTTTAGATGACAGTGACTGCGAAGACTTAACCATGAATCAGAAATACTGAAAGTTTAAAATTAGTTTTGTGCTGATAAAAATCTCAATATCTTTGAATAAATTTCGGCATATGATGGGAAGGTTTGAAAAATTTCAGGATATTTGGCTTTATGTTTAGGGAAGTGCTGTCATATGATATCGTTAAGGACGTTATATCTTTTGACTGTAAAAGGATAGGATGTGTCACTAGCTTAAATGGATAAAGCATTTGGCATGGTTTTGGAACACCTCTAGAATGAGATGTGTCAGTATATGTGGAATGAAGGAGATTGCCTTGTTATTAAATTGAAAGCACCGTTACAATTGTGTTGGAATTTGCAATGTGCATATCTAATTCTACTGTAGTTGTGTAAAATATAACACGTGAATTTGTTACTCTCTTTTACGCAGAGTTGCAAAACGTATATTAATCAAAGGCAGCATAATTTTTTGCTGGAATTCTGTTGGCACTCCTAATGTTTGTGTGCCTTGGCTTTCTCAGTTTATCCCACCCTGCTAGAGTGCATGCACGTTGATGTCAGTGTTTTGAGAACTACATTATATATATTTTTTCCTTTTCTTTTGAATGTCACTAACAAACATTGGACTGAATTCATTCCATATATTTAGCTTGGTGTAGTTGACCTTGACATCTTCTGCGGGTTTGACTACTTGTGATGCCATACATTTTTCTCTTTTACATGAATTCCACCTGGATGGTGCAACATTGATTAAATTTCTTCACATATGAAAAAAGTATGAATAATTGTGCTTAACTTTTACCCATATATGGTAAACCTAACCGAGCCAGAGGCGGAAAAGTACAAATACCCTGAACTAAAGAAAAGGAAAATTGACTCTAACCCAAAGACCTGAATTTTGTGCCCTTTTTTTATTTAAACTTTTTCTTTTGCATTTGAAAGATATCCTTGAGTTAATACTGTTAGGTTGGTGCTAGCGTCGGACAATCCATTTTGACCCATTTTATGGTTTGCACACTTTCACGTTGCCACGTCTTACTGCTGTCTTATTGTTGATGCATTTTCTGTGATACATAGAGTGAACTAACATGCAATTCTCATTATTAAATTTTTTGTTTTTGTTCTAGCTTTAAGTATGAGATAGGCATCTTGGGGGTAATTATGGCCTCCAAAGGTCCACGGTCCAAGCTTGATCATGAATCCCGGGCTAGGCGGCAAAGGGTAAATTCATATCATTCTTTTTATTGATGTTTATATTACATACATTTTTTTATGTGAATGTGGTAATGTTTTTGTATAAGAACGTGCGAAACTATCTATTACAAATTACATAAACATTAACCATGATTATACTTCCTTGCTTGAAGTAACTCTAAATTTATTTGATGTTTTCACTGGTCAGATCTACCATGTGTATTTATGCCTTTTTAAGTGTATTAAAGGAAAAATATAGTATGTTTCTAAATCTGGATTGAGATTTGGAATTATAAATTTGAGAATACAAATCTTGAACTTGAGAGCCGTAAATGTAATCCTGTTGTTCGGAAGAAGATTTGCTTTCAAGATCTTAATACCACTTTTTTCCCCTCTCAGATATCTTTCTACGCCATAACATATTTTCATTAACTTAAGCAGTGGTAGTGTTTAAACCGTTGCAGAATAGCTTTCCTTGGAAAGGAGTAGAGCTAATTGTAGGATTTGGAATGATTTGATAATCCCTGAATTAATGTCCAACCAAATTCAGTATTTGGATTCGAAACCTGAATTCAAAATCATATCCATAAAATTGTTTAAAAGAAAGCACCCTTAGATATTGTCTTTCTCAGCTCATACAGTTGCCAGTTTGTACATATGCTAAATGACTTGTAGTTGGGATTCTATCTCTCATCAGGACATTCATCATGAGTGATTTTAATCTTGTTCTAGGTCAATTGGTAGCCTTTGAAAATATAGATTGGATCATGGCAAAAGAACATCTTGACATGGGTACTTCACATTAATGTACAAATTTGGGAGCTGGGATATGCTGGACTGATGTATTTGATATGTTTTATTTTAATTGGTAATTTATTACTCTAGGCACTGGAAGCTCCCAAAGAACCTCAACGTCCTAAAGCGCACTGGGATCATGTTCTGGAAGAGATGGTTTGGTTGTCGAAGGTAATTAAAATTTTCCTTTTATATGATCAATTTTTTGGGTTTCTATAACGACTGTGGGTTTCTATAACGACTGTGTTACTAGCAGGACTTTGAATCAGAGAGGAAATGGAAAGTTGCTCAAGCAAAAAAAGTTGCTATAAGGGCCAGCAAGGGCATGCTGGATCACGCCACAAGGGGAGATAAGAGATTGAAGGTTTATGTAACGACCCAAATATTTTTGTTTATTTTATTTTATTTGAGTTTAGATCGCAACCAAAATTTTCTTATAAAAGGAAAGGAATTTAAAACCGCATCGCATGCAATGCATAACATCATGTGACAATAGTTTACTAAAATTTGCTATAGAGAAATTTTTCAAATCTCATAATTATTTATTCTCTTAAAAATAAAGACTTTTCCCAAAACCATAATATGTTCTCACATGTTTGGATATATCTCAAATTCTTAAATAAATCCTAGAATTCAATTTTATGTGTAACTGAGGAATTCCAACAACAACATATATACAAATATGCAATTTCGGTGACTTAGTCCAATGAAGCATAATACCCGTAACTAATTTATAATTTAAACATTGGGATCATAATTGGTAAAGAAAATAATTTTATGGATTTGGCGTAAGTGGCAGGCAAATGAAGATTTTTTTCAATTTCTCTGGCATAATTGATACAATGGCCCCTAACACTATGTTTCCTCTAATTAGTGGATAATTTTAATTAGCTACTTAATTTTATCGAATTCAACCAATAGTTAAATCACATGCAGGGTACTAATTGAATATGAGAAATCAAAATTAAAACAGGTTGTAATTTATATATTAGCCTAAGTGTACAAGAAGTTGGTTCACGATAATATGTACTATAGATCAAATCAAATAAATTG